CTACAGATTTTAAAGATAATGAACATGTTTTTTTCACTTAATTGATTATAAATTTGGTAGAAAACTAGCTAGTCCTCTATTAATGACTCATAATTTGTCTCTAAGTAAAACTACAGATTTTAAAGATGATGAACATATTTTTTCACGTAATTGATTATAAATTTGGTAGAAAACTAGCTAATCTTCTATTCATGACTCACAATTAGGCTCAAATTAAAATAATAATGATAGTATAAATCTAAATCTAATTTATTAAAGACTTTTATTTATAACCTTCTCCTTATTTGATATATGGAATACATCCTTGTCCTTTTTTACTAATCATTCAAATTCATTATAGGAGAAAAAAACTATAAAAAATCAATTAAGTACATAAAGTCTAAAATGAAAATGGCAGAAAATAGCTACAGTATGTATTCTACTCATCCCATTTAGAGCAAGTAATTGTAAACTACATTAGATAATTTTTTAATATTAATATTTATCTACTAATATTTGTTATATATATGTATATATATTAAGAAATGTAAATAAATAATCTTTTTAAATTATTAATTCTAATTTTTAAGTGAGAGAAATACTTTTTTTATAAAAAAAAAATCGTGGTATAACAATGGTAACAACTTTTTACTAGAATTTAAATTATTAGTTGAAGGTATGTTAATAATGTGATTATAATCCTTAATTACTCCATCTAATTTCAAAATAATAAATAAAAGAGAAGTCCAAAAGTAGATTGGAAAATGATATCCACCATGCGTCAATATGACATTCTATATTCATTTATTTTTGTTTTGATGCAATATATTCAATTATATCTCAATTTGGAATTCTCTATATAAACTCTTCTAGAATACCCTATTACACCAAACAGAGATATGGGAATTTTCACAATGCTCTCTACGCCACTCCGCCTCATTTTCCTCTTCCTCTGCCTTAAAACTGCCTTTTCATCCTCTTTACATGCTTCTTCCTTCTCAACGACACACCTCTGCTCTCATGAGGAGGCTGCTGCTTTGTTGCAATTCAAGACTTCCTTTTCCATCGATTACACTGTTTGTGATACTAAAGCTAATTATTCTAAGACTGACTCTTTGAAGGAAGGTATAGACTGCTGCTCCTGGGATGGTGTTAGCTGTGATAATGTCACAGGTCGTGTAATTGCCCTTGATCTCAGCTTCGATTGCCTTTCTGGCACTTTTCCTTCGAGCAGCACTCTTTTTCTCCTCAAAAACCTAGACAGCCTCAATCTTGCCTTCAATGATTTTAGGCTTTCCAAGATTCCATCGGAAATCAGTCAGTTTACTAGACTAAAGCATCTTGATATCTCTTATTCTCAATTTTCGGGCCAAGTTCCAGCAGAAATTGCTCACCTCCCCAAGTTAGTTTCTCTCAATCTCTCTAATGACTTTTATGATGATTCTCTTGAATTGATCCTTGAAACAACTACCTTCAGAAATCTTGTTCACAACTTGAGTGAGGTGAGAGAACTTGTGCTTAGTGGAGTGAACATGATATCTGTTAATCCTCGTTTCTTCATGAATCTCTCTTCTTCATTGACTACTCTTGATCTTTTCGAGTGTGTGTTAAGAGGAAACTTTCCAAACAGTATTTTCCGCTTTCCAAATCTCAAGAATTTTTATTTAACTGGAAACGGAAACCTCGCTATTGATCTTCCAAGTTCCAATTTGAGCAGTCCTCTCCAATGGTTGTATTTAGGTGATATGGATTGCGGAAGGCAATTGCGAGAGTCTATTGGAGATCTAAAGTCATTACAGTCTTTGAGCCTTCACTGCAACTTAGAAGGTTCCATTCCAGCTTCCATAGGGAACTTATCTCAACTTACTTACTTAAGCCTCTCTTATAACAATCTTAGCGGACTCTCATCATCACTTGCAAACCTCACCCAACTTACCTCTCTTGACCTTTCCAAAAATCAATTTTCTGGTCTCATTCCAGCTTCCATAAGTAACTTAAGGCATCTCACCCAACTTACCTCTCTTGACCTTTCCAATAATCAGTTTTCTGGTCCCATTCCAGCTTCCATAGGTAACTTATCTCAACTAACTGTCCTAAGCCTCCTCTCTAACAATTTTAACGGACAAATCCCATCATCAATTGCAAACCTCACCCAACTTGCCTATCTTTTCCTTTCCCATAATCAGTTTTCTGGTCCCTTTCCAGCTTCCATAAGTAACTTAAGGCACCTCACCCAACTTACCTCTCTTGACCTTTCCAATAATCAGTTTTCTGGTCCCATTCCAGCTTCCATAAGTAACTTAAGGCAACTTACTTTCTTAGCCCTCTGTTCTAACAATCTTTGCAAACAAATCCCCTCATCACTTGCAAACCTCACCCAACTTACCTCTCTGTTCCTTTTCGAGAATCAGTTTTCTAGTCCCATTCCAGCTTCCATAGGTAACTTATCTCAACTAACTGACCTAAGCCTCTCTTTTAACAATTTTAATGGACAAATCCCATCATCACTTGCAAACCTCACCCAACTTACCTATCTTTCCCTTTCCTATAATCAGTTTTCTAGTCCCATTCCAGCTTCCATAGGTAACTTATCTCAACTAACTGACCTAAGCCTCTCTTCTAACATCTTTAACGGGCAAATCCCATCATCACTTGCAAACCTCACCCAACTTACCTCTCTTGACCTTTCCAATAATCAGGTTTCTGGTCCCATTCCAACTTCCATAGGTAACTTAAGGCAACTTACTAGCCTAGACTTATCTTATAACTTACTTAATGGCATGTTGTCACCTTGGATTTTCACCCTACCTTTGTTAGAGTACTTGTATTTCAATCATAACCAATTTCAAGGTCAAATAAATCAATTCCAGCAAAACCCACTCATACATCTAGATTTGTCAAACAATAGACTCCAGGGTTCAATTCCTAACTCAATTGCTAATTTAGTAAATCTTAGTTATCTCGGTTTATCATCAAATCATTTTAGTGATTTAGTAGAACTTGACATGTTCTCTGCACTTCAAAATCTGGAAACCATCTTTCTTTCAGACAATAATCTGTCCTTGAGAATGAATGTCAATGCCAACTTCACATTACCCAAACTAACTGATGTTTCCTTTTCTTCCTGTAACTTGAGTGAATTCCCCATTTTCTTAAGACATTCAAATGGTCCGCAAACCCTAGTGCTATCCAAAAATAGCATTCATGGAAATATTCCCAAATGGATATGTGAAAAGGATTATCTCGAAACTCTTGACCTTTCTCATAACAATTTAATCGGGAAGATTCGATAATGTCTTCTTAAGTCTCTCTCAATGTTGAATTTGCAGGCCAATTACTTTGATGGAAATATACCATTTGGGTTTCCAAAGGGCTGTGGATTACAAAATCTCAACTTACATGGAAATCAAATGGACAGCTTATTACCAAGGTCTTCGGTGAATTGTCGCATGTTAGAGGTTCTAGACATTGGCAACAACAACATAAGTGATACATTCCCTCATTGGTTGGAATCTCTACCAGACCTTCAAGTGCTTGTCTTAAGGTCCAACAAGTTCCATGGTTCTGTGCAGAGCACCAAAGAAAGTCCATCTTTTCCCAAGTTACGAGTTCTAGACCTCTCCAACAATGATTTTCTTGGTCCTTTGCCTATTCGGTACATGGAAAATTTTAAAGTGATGATGGACCCTCATGGAGAGGATGGTTCCCCTGAATACACGAAGGTGTCGACAGGAGCCAATTCTTATCAATATTCACTGGTTGTGACATGGAAGGGAATACAATTTCAACAGGATCAAGGTGGAATAGGATTGGGAAAGGGAATACAATTTTGGGTGCTTTTTTTTTTTAATGTTTTGGGAAAGGGAATACAATTTTGGTTTTTTTTTTTTTTCAAGTTTTTAACATTTTCCTTCAGCTATAACTATTGTGGGGGTTATGGCACCTGAATCCCCACTGTCATAAATCGACCTTCCTTCATTTCCAGATCCAAGTACAATGATCTGGGTGGTGACCAAGGTGAGGTTTTAGGCCTAGATTTGAAGTCTCTGAAGATTTTGCTGAAGCAAAGAGTCTTTATTTGGGCAATGCTTTGTTGTCTTTTGGTTTTTACGTGCAGGGGAGCGCTTGTGGCGGAGGGAGTGGTGAATGCAGGGTACGAAGTGGTTGAGCAGTGGGGTTGTTGTTGAGGAATGTGTGGCCTAAGGTTTCTGTGGTTCTTAAGATTTTCAAAGAGCAAGGTGTGATTCTGATTGCACTTTTAGGTCTATCTGCATTCTTCTCAATGGTAGAGACTTCTATAACTACACTGTGGCCATGGAAGGTTTGCTTTCTTTGTTTGAAGATTGATGGTTCTTATAACTAGTGAATAGCAATTGAAATCTGAATTTAAGTACGGAAACATCAAAAAGGTTAAATATACGAAGTTGAAGAACATTCACAGTTATTGATTGTTAATATTTCAGTAACTTTTATGGTTTAGATAAATATATGAAGTTTGTGGTTGTTGTGCAATGGCATTTGTTGACTTAAATATTGGGTTTAGTGTCTGAAGATGGTGTATTTCAAACGCTTCACAGTGATGTAACCTGGTTTTTGACCACCAATCTTATTGGCACTACATACTAGTCTTTCCCATCATCACTAACTGACCCAGTTCTGTGTGTCTATGTTAACTTTGATGTGTGATTTATTTTTAGATTCTGTTTTTCTCACTAGGACGGTCAATATTGGAGCGACTGCTTTAGTTACTGATGCAGCAATAGCAATATTTGGAGAAGCTGGTGTTAGGGTAGCAATTGGAGTAATGACTCTATGTATATAAAAATTCTGTCCTCTCTACATGTCCCACATACCCAACCTCGTTGCCTGCTTCTATTTGTGCATGTATGTAACACATTTTGAATTTGTAGTAAATTAGAGTAAAATGCTTAAATTGCTTTAGGATTAATCTCTTTAAGTTAGCACCTGAGTTGTAGAGTTGACTGTTACAAAAACAATGAAAGAAGAACAAAAAAGAAATCATGTTGGGTAACTCTAATAGACTGCAGAATAATCAAAAGGTGGGTGGGCTGGTTGTTTATCATGTGTTTTTTTCCCCCTACCTCTATAATAATGGGAAGGTAGTAATGGTAAGTGAGCTGGATCTTTTGAGACCATAGGGCCTTTGAATTAGAGAATTGGTATTTTAGGCTTCAACACTAGGGCACTGGTCATTCTTTATTTTTCTTTTTTTCAATATTATGGGTATCCAAACCTTTGGGCACTAGTCATTCTTGATATGGTAGATTAATTTGCATATCTTTCTCTTTTTATATTATTGATAAAGGAGTTGATATTTTACTAGAAAATCAAAAAAATGTCTTGTATAGGGTACATGACAAGCTTAGCTTATTTTCTTCAAGGGGTATTTTCCATTTTTACTACTTTTTTCTTCTTTTTTTTTTTTTATACTTTGATCTTTTTATACTTTTTGCTTCCTTTTCTCCTAAATGAATTTGTTTCTGGTCTACACATATCTGTGCACACTGAAAGGCATAGCAGCTTTGTTAAATAAAGTAGAAAAAATAAATTTTTTTACTTTTTGCAGTTGTAATTTGGAGTGGCAAGTGATACGTTAAACCCAGATATGCTGAGTGTTTATTGTAGGTATGTTGTTTTCATGCAATGGAAAAGCTTGCCTTTTTCCAAAAAAAAAAAAAGAAAAAAAGGAAAAAAAAAAAAAGAACATGAAAGATTGAAAGAAATCATAATCATTGAATTTTTCTTGGATGATTCCAAGTTGGTATTTTGCTTCTTACTGAGATCACTCCAAAAACTATAGCTGTTCACAATCCCATAGAGGTGGCTAGATTTGGGGTAAGTTTTCCAACTTCCATTCAAGTTTCCATTTTCTTCTTGAACTGGCAACTAAAACTTTGCTGAAAAACTTTAACTTTCTCTTTCAAACTCCATGATCTATATTACTATTTAACTCTTTTCTAGTTAGCTGATGACTGCTAGCAAATTAAAATTATTTGGCTAATGCTATTTGTTGTGTCACTAGGTCAGGCCAGTAGCATGGCTTTCCTTGATACCATATCCAGTGGGAAGAATTGTTACTTATTTATCAATGGGAATTCTTAAATTACGTGGTCTAAAAGGGAAAAGGTGAAGGAAATCGTATCCTCTTTTTTGTCTGTTACATTTTTGTTTCCAGAATCTAGTTGTTTGTTAAGTTTGTATTGACTGCTTTATATATGCTTTGCACGTTTTCTCTTTAAATTAGTGAACCTTATGTTATTGAAGATGAATTAAAGCTGATGCTAGGTGGGGTAGAGTTGAGTGGAGCAATAGAGGAGGAAGAGCAGGTAGTGAAATATGCTAATTTTTCTTTACTTTACTAGCCTGAGTGTCTCTTTTGTTTCAAATAAGAATTAGAAAGTTTCTTCAGTTTCTGAATTCTTTTACTGGGATCAAATTGATCAGTATCATCTATGCTTGACTCTGGTTGCACATTTACAGTAGAGCATATCTTTTTTTTGCCATATATTTCTCTAGCAATTTCTGTTTTAAAATCAGATTCTAGTGGAAATCCAATTTAATTTTTTTGCCAACAGGTGCCTTTCTGTTTGTTTACAGTTTAGATG